ATTCTGATCTGGAGTGAATGTGGTGGCCTGCTGCCATTTGTTTCAGCTGGTTAGTGCCTGTTCGGGCGGGCAATGCCGCTCCGCGGTGGCATCAAGCAGCAGTTGAGTGCATCTACACCGCCGCCGCCGCAGCTCCCAGAGGCGACGGGCCCCAACCCCCAATCCCGAGCCCCAGCCCGAGCCCCGACCCCCCACCCCTCAGCAACCCCCAGGGGGTGCAATAGATCGAGGCCCAACCCCCTTATACCTCGATTCCGTTGGCGATCACCCTTCATCCCCAGCAGGCCGCCGACTTCAAACGCGCTGGCGCCACCCAGTTCGACAGTTTCTTGAGGAGAAAATTCTTCAAGGGGAAGCTGCACGCTACGGATGTGGCAGAGGGGGCGCAGTCAGTGCACGTATCATGTCCGTCGGAGTGCCCTGAATTTGTGCAGCAGCTCGGGTCCTGCAACAAGACCTCCCGCAACCAGTACCGAAAGGTGATGCGCAGTTTTGACATGCATAGCGAACTACCCAATACATACGATGCTTATCTAACAGGGTGGGATAACAAAACTGGCTCGCAAACGAAAATATTGGTATCGTTCCTTCTGCCGACCGAGCTCCTCAACCACTATATCACAGAGGATAACATTAGTGACTGGCACAGCTTTTCTTCCGATCAGCGGTACCTCAAAGACACCTTGAGTTCCTGGGGTGATAGGGTCGGAATTCGGGCTCTCGATGAGCGTTTTCTGGCCCTCGGCGTGTGGGGCGACGCTGCGCCGTACGCCCATCGCGATACGATATATTTGATGTTGTGGAACGTGGTGAGCGGCTCCAAGCACAAGAGGTTCTGGTTTGCGTCGTTTCCTAAAAGGCTCCCCAGGGCAAAAACGCCAACACATAATGCGTGCCTGTGATGTTTCCTGGAATCGGCCTGATCTGATGGTTTATGGTTGTCCTCGATGGGGGTGCTTCCAGATCGCAACGAAATGTTAACTGTTTGGGTTGTTCGGGTGTCTGGAATGTTTCTGGAATTTGATGTGTTTTCTCGAATCTATCTGGAATTATTCTGGAATGATTGGGTGTTCTGGGAGTTGCAAGATTTCTGAAACGCTGCTGGCACCGGTTTGTGCCTGGAGTCGGGGCATGCTCCGAATGCGTTTTACGGGGCCGCGGAGCCCGGCTTTTTGGCAGCCCTCTCAGACAGACCTGCGCTTGCGGCTGCAGCGGCAAGCACACGTTTGAAGGCGTGTGGCATGTCATGAAGTGGTGCCTCGAGAGTTTCAAAGACGGTAAATACCCAGACAGGCGGCACGACGGCATCCCTTTTTCGTGCTCGCCCTTCGACAACGATCGGGACCGCGCTGGCATGGCAGGCAAGCCCATGCTTGCACGAGGGGCAGCCATTCAGATGAGGGGGGATTGGAGTTGGATGAAGCAAGCATTCGGGCTTACTGGATGGCGAGGGGAAGGGGGGCGAGGCGACTGCTGTTGGCTATGCTCGGCGAACAACACGACGCGTGATTTCCGCAGGGCTGATCTCGAGGCGCCGTGGAGACAGGAACGGCACTCCCACGAGGAATACTTGCGCCGTGCATCTGACGAGGGCCGCTTCGTCAGCTGCGTGTTCGAATGGCCTGGCTTTCAGTTGGAGTACGTGCACGTGGATCTCATGCACGCTGGGGACCTAGGATAGCTTCTTTGTTTTTTTCCTCTCTTGATCTGTCGGGGTGGGATCGTCGCCACGGCTGGACTCGCCGAGAAAAACAGTCGCGCCCTCAAACATTCTCCAGGCGTGGTTTTGTACTTGCTCGGTAACGTATGGTGGGAGTTCTGGAAGCACATGGGGGGCAATACGTCCACGGGGGAGGGCGGCCACAACAAGCAGGTGTCATCGAACATATTGTCGATGGTCCGCATCGCCGCCAAGACGTTGGGCATCGAGCCACCGCTAAACAATCTCACAGTGGGGATGATAAAGACTTCGGGCCAGCCCCCGAAGCTAAAGGTCAAAGCTGCGGAAGCCCGATACCTCTTGCAGTGCACTGAATTCATGGTTTTAAACTTCTTCCCCAACGGAACCTCACATGAGAGGTTGAGGTGTAGGTGCGTTTGCAAGCTAGCCGAAGCGTACAGGTGCATGGATGTTTGGGAGGACTCAGGCGCGTCTGCAGCTACTCTGCGCAGGCTCGGGACCCAACACATCATGTTGTATAGTGAACTGTCCAGGGAGGCCATAGAGGCCGACAGGGACACCACACTTTGGAGGATGTTCCCCAAACACCATTTGTTTTTACACGCTATCGAAGATAGTGTAGCTGTTTCTGGGTGTCCTAAGAGTAGTTGGTGCTACATGGACGAGAATGAAATCGGGGATGCAGCGTCTAGGGCGAAGTGTTGCCACTGCAAGACGATTCGCAGCCAGGTCATTCGGCAGTATCGGGCGTGCGATCTAGTCGACTTTCGCCCGAACTAGCTGCCCGTTCAGCCCGCAGTTTCAAGGGGTAACGGCGCTGCGGAGCTGCGCGGTGCGTTCCGCTCGGTTGACACATGATGAAGAAGAAAACGACGATGACGACGACGACGACGACGACGACGACCAGAAGAACATGCAAACAACAAACATGTGTCAACCGCTCGCTCTTCGTGAACTTGAGTAGCTAGAGGTGCATAGTAAAATGTTCTTCCGAATCATCTCCCTCTCCAGTACGCCTCCTGCCCTTCTCCTCTCTCCCTCCTCCTCCTCCTCCTCTTCTCCTCTCCCTCTCCTCTCCCTCTCTGCTCTTCCTGCCGTTCCCCCAGTCCTCCTCCTTACTAGTCCCTTTATTTCCTTCCCCCTCTTCTTCGAGGAGGTGCCCGCAAAGCTTCACTGAAGCTTTTCGGCACGGGGGGGTCACTTGGACCCTCGCGAACTGCTCCGCGGGCAATGGTTTTTGCTTGGCCGAGGGGTCCAGGCAGAAGAGCTCTTCGAGACGTTCTGGGACGCTCGGCCTCCTCTCCGATCTCCCGCCCTCGAGTTTTGCAGAGGCGCCCAAATCAGGCGACGCGAATCGAAATTGCACTGTCATCCTTGACTAAATGTATAAACATAGGTCATATATATATATATAATTTTATCTACGCTTATATCATATAAACTGATATGATAAAATTTTAGTCGCCGATCTACTAAACAATTTCTCACATTTCTATAACGGAATCTGAATTTTATCCCTATTATATTTTTTAATTCGTCCAGCTGGATCTTCTAATTTTTTGTCTGATCTGAGCGTCTGGGACCCTGTGGAGGCAAACCCCTTGTGTTTTGGGCGCCCGAGTTATCCGGGGTAACTCGGGTCCGGGGTAACTCGGGTTTGGATTCCCGAAAAAGAAACCCGAGTTACCCCTGACCCGAGTTACCCCTGATGATTCGGGGCTCTGGACGCCCGAGTTATCCGGGGTAACTCGGGTCCGGGGTAAGTCGGGTTCGGCTTCCCGAAAAAGAACCCGAGTTAGCCCTGACCCGAGTTACCCCTGATGATTCGGGGCGCCCGACCGGGGTAACTCGACGAAAAACGAACCCGAGTTAGCCCTGACCCGAGTTACCCCTGATGATTCGGGGCTCTGAGTGTTGGTGTTGGTGCCCATTTCCAGGCCTCCGAAGCTAGGGCTGTTGGAAGGTGGCGGCGTGGGCCGCCCCGGGGAGGACCTCGAGCCACCCTGGGGCCGCAGGAAGTCAGAGGCGCACGCCTGCGCGGGGACCGACCGCTCCGGCATTCCTCGAGCCCTACCACGACATGCTCCTGGGACCCAAACATCGGGGATGGACAGACCTCCCTTTTAGTAGAACGTGGTTTGGTGAAAACGACTTCGGGCCCAAACCTGGCGGGCGCAAGCCTGGAAAATAACGGCCACGGCGCCCTCTCGAAAACCGAAAACGGACAATTCACTAATCGACGTGTCACTGTGGGGGGTTCTGTCCACCCCCGAAAAAAATGCTCTGTCCACCCCCGTTCTGAGAACAGAAACCGATGTGTTCATAAAACAAGACAGCCCCAGCGGGAACTGTTCTGAGGACATCTCGTGGCAACCACAAAAAAAGTTCTTGGAACATTGTCTGGCAGGACTCTAGGCACGCCAGGACGCTTCGCCACTGCTTGACGCGTGCGCTTCAGGCCAGGAGAGCTCTCCAGGAAAGCTCCCCAACGGGGGGCGCGTTCAGGCCGCGCCCGCTCCCGAGGAGGGCGGGGCATCAGGAAGGCACGGTTGCTGTGTGTTCCTCGGAGGCCGGCGCGCTCCCAGAATTCTCTAAAGCATCTTTGAAGGGGCCCCAGGACACACAAATGAATACACACAAATAAAAATGTTCCCCATGATTTCCTATATTTTCTGGATGTCTGTCTTCCCCCCCCCACTTCCCATATTTTCCCATATTTTCTGGGGAATCGAAGATTAATTATGTCTGTGTGTGTTTTTTCCCTCCTGAATCTTCTCGCAGAAGCCTCTCGGAAGCGGTGTTGGGTGTGCCATGGAGCCTCTCGGGGGCCTCTCAAGGCCTGTGAGTTGGGCTTCTTGGGGGCCTGCTGGCGATGTTGGCGGTCATCTTGGGGACGGATGGCGCGAACTGTCAGCTCGAGTTCCCCCTCTTGGCGCCCTCTTGGACCGACTTCGGCCTTTTGGGCAGTCTTTGGGCCCTCTTGGGAAGCCTGGGGCCCGTCTTTGGACCTATTTGGGCCAGCTTGAACGTTCTTGGGGGCCTCTTGGGCCGATTTGGAGCTGATGTTGGCCTCCCAGGCCCTCTTGGTGAGCCTCGTGAAGCTCTCGTAGGGCGTTTGGGGCCCTGCTGGGCCGTCTGAAAGTCAGATTGGCGAGCTCTTGGACCGTCTGTGGGCGTCTCGGGCCGCCTTGGACGTTCTCGTGGCTGTCTTGGGCCGTCTTTGAAGGCCCTGGGGCGGGCGCGCCGGGACTGGCCCGGCCAATTTGGCCCTTTTTTTCCGATTTCCTTCCTGCAGGCGGCGACCCCGGCATCGTAGTACGTGTGACGTCAGGCTCCAGCTTCGCTGCACGCATCTCGCAGAGCAGCGCCAGAGCCCGCGGCCACTGCTCGCTTTTCTCGCACGCGCTGATCCCAGCGCTGTAGCTGATGACGTCTGGCTCCACCTTCGCCTCACGCATCTCGCCGAGCAGCGCCAGAGCCCGCTGCCACTGCTCGCATTTCTCGCACGCGCTGATCCCAACACTGTAGCTGATCACGTCAGGGTCCACCTTCGCCTCCCGCATCTCGCTGAGCAGTGCCAGAGCCTGCTGCCACTGCTCGCTTTTCTCGCACGCGCTGACCCCAGCGTTGTAGCTGATGACGTTGGGCTCCAGCTCCGCCTCCCATATCTCGCAGAGTAGCGCCAGAGCCCGCTGCCATTGCCCGCCCTTCTCGCACGCGCTGATCCCAGCATTGTAGCTGACTAGGGCAGACCCGTGGGCTACGTCCACAGCATGCGGCCCGATCTGGTCACAATTCTCCTGGCGGCCACGAAAGCATACTCGCATGCAAGGGTGAGGTTCGATCGTATGTGCGAACTCATGTCTGCAATGCAGCCAGCGACGTTGCTGGTCGGGTGGTCTACAGCTCGTAGCCTGTTCACATAATTTCTCTGTTGCTTGCTTTATTGCTTGCTCCTCCGCTCGCTGCCGCTTGCTGCTTGTAATGGAGCGTTGCGTTACCAACCCCCTCCCATCCCCCCCCTCAGGGCTGCCCGCTAGTCTTCGCCCGGTGTCGACGCACGTACCTCTGGCAATCTTTGGCCGCCTAAGCATCTATAACTATTCTTCACCTCAACGAAGATTCAGAACTTGGGCTATGTGGGCCGTCTTCGAGGCGCGCCGGGCCGCTCCTAGGAAGTGAAAGGCCCTGCGGGTGCGGAAGGTGCAGAGGGGGCAGGAGAAACGAGCGAGGAGTGAGAGGAGGAGGAGGAGGAGGAGGAGGAGGAGGAGGAGGAGGAGGAGGAGGAGGAGGGGGAGGAGGAGGAGGAGCAGGAGGAGGAGGAGGAGGAGGAGGAGGGGGAGGAGGAGGAGGAGGAGGAGGAGGAGGAGGAGGAGGAGGAGGAGAGGAGCGTTGAGCCGTGGGCGAGGGAGCGAGGACGGAGGGTTCAAGAACGACAGGCGCGCGAATATCTCCCACTGGATGCGACGCGCGCGCGCGGCCACACCTTTCAGCAAGGAAGGGGGGGGATATTTCCCTCCTCCCTCCTCCCTCCTCCCTCCCTCCTCCCTCCTCCCTCCCTCAGGCCAGTCCTTCTGCGCCGAGACGTTCCTGGAGCCGTGGAGATCTTGACGACGAACTTCAACGACCGAGCAATGCGTTAAGTCTGTCCGCGGCAGGCCGGAGGCCTCAGCCATGGGCCCCAGGAGCCGCGGACAGCATTTAACACGCCACCCTCGCGTTCAATTGTGTCCTCAAGCTCGGGGGGCGCAGGACCCTCACGGTAAATCTCGGTCTCGGGCCCAGACCCCGCGTAGAATTTCGCCCTCGCGCGGTTATGCCGCGCACTGTGGCGGCCTTGGTAGGCCTCCATGGGCTTGGGTCGGAGCCGTCGTAGGCGGCGTCGGGAGGCTCCTGGGGCGTCTCGGGGCTATCCTTCAGGGTGTCTGGGGCCTTCTGGAGCCATTCCGGGGCTCCCTGCGGCCATCGTCGGCGGCCGTAGCTTGAAAAAAGCCGGAAGGGTGAACCCTTTGAACAACTGACGGGACATGCATGGTTTTGGCCTCTTCGGAGTGTCGGTGGAGCCCTCGGATTTCGAGAATCGGGCGACTCGGCGCGTCCATTTGTGCCAGAGGACAAGATTCAACGCCTGGGCAGCGTGTTAAATCTTGTCCGCGGCAGGGCCGGGGCCTCAGCGCTCGGCCTTCAGGGGCGCGGGCAAAATGTAACACGGCACGTTCGCACGAAATCTCGTCATTGGGCGAAGAGGGCGCGTTGAATTTCGTCCTCGAGCTCGCCGGAAGCGCCCGGCTGCGTTTTCCCGGGTTTTGATTGACCAGCCCTTTTCGCACGCACGTATGCCTGAAACGTAAGTAAGACCAGGGCTGACCCGCGGCCTTCCGGCCACGGAAACTGCCCGCCATTGTGTGGAGGTGGACGCGGAGCGTCTCTGGGGCCTCCCCGGGGGGGGGGAGGGCGGGAGGGGACGGTGCGGATGGGAGAGGTGGCCGCTGGAGGGGGTGGTGGGCGAGGGAGGCAGGCAAGCAGGCCCGAGGGCAGGGACGTGGTGGTGGAGGCGGTGTCAGTGGAAGCACGCCCGTGTAGGCACGACGTGATGTGGACAGAAGCTGTTTCTCACGCCGCGCCCTCTGCTCATGATAGCTTCTGCGGGGTGGGTCGGCGTGATAACTTGATCTGCTCTTCGCCGGGGCCCGGTGTTACTTTTATCTGGTAGTGTCGTGAGATTGGGGCCGGTGGGCGCGGGCATCTTTCTGTTCGTTCGTCAGGAGCTTATTCGACGTCCCAAGAGTCCCGCACGAGGGCGCCGAGACAGCCAGCACTGGGGCCGCTCAAGCACCTGGTGCACGGGAGGATCAACGATAGGACGCTGGAGTAACTGTCCATTAGGTTTACTTGAGCTGCGCGTTACGTGCCTTCTCAGGGTGCCTGGACACTATTTGGGCCTTCTTCGGGGCATGCTCGGGACATCTCTGTGGTTCGTATCGGCTTTTCATTAATTTTGGACGCCCTCCTCGTCCTCCCATGGATCCTTCATCCCATCGATCTTCGTTAGGAGCCGTCTCAGTATGTCTGGACTCTCTAGGGGCCTCCTTCGGATCAGTTCGGGACATCTCGGTGGCTTCTGTCGGCTTGTGCGGCAATTTTGGGCGTCCTCCTCCAAGTCCCTCGATCCTTCATCCCGTCGTTCTTCGATCATCAGTTGTCGACGCCCCCATGTGAGAAGCTCGAAGGCCTCTTTTCGACCTCCTGGGGGCCTCTCGGGGCCCTCTTGGGCCGTCCAGAGTGCCTCTTGGGGCCATCTTGGGCCCTCTTGGGCCGTCCGTCCCAGGGCAATGTGGGGCCGTCTTGGGCGCCTCTCGGGCCGCCTTGGGGCCGCCTTGAAACCATCTTGGGCTGATATTGAGCGCTCTTGGAGCTGTCTTGGGTGCCTCTTGGGCCGTCTCCTGCGCCTCTGGAGCCGTTTTGGGGGTCCTCCTGGGGGCGTCCGGGGGCGCCTTGGGGCGATTTCGGGGGCCTGTACAGCCGTCTTGGAGACTGTGCAAAAAAAACAAAAGAACATATAAGAAAGATACGGTTTTCTCAAGGAATGGGACGATTGGTGCCTCTTGGGGCTCTCCTGGGGGTCCTCCTGGGCCGTCTCGGGAGCCTCCTTGTCTACCTTGGAGGCCTCTAGGGTCATCCTGGGGCTCGCTTTGGGGTCCTCTCGGGGCGTCTGGGCGCCCACTTGAGCGTCTCTGAGCCGTCTTGGTGCCTTCTTGGGCCGTTATTGGGCGCTCTTGGGGCTGTCTTGGATGCCTCTTGGACTGTCTCGGGCGACTCTGGAGCTGTCCCAGAGCCGTCTCGGGCCGTTTGGGGGCCCTCCTGGAGGCGTCTGGAGGCGTCTTGGGGCGATATTGGTGGCCTGTACAGCCGTCTTGGAGACTGAACGGACACACGAAAAATACACGCTGTCCAGAAGGTCCCGTGCATTTTCCGGTGTCGTGCGTGTGTTTTCTTGCTCGATGGTCCAGGATGCCCCTAGATGGTCACCGCCGAGAAAAAACGCACACGTCCGAGCGATGCCAAGGGAATGGGACGATTGGTGCCTCTTGGGGCTCTCCTGGGGGTCCTCCTGGGCCGTCTCGGGAGCCTCCTTGCCTGCCTTGGAAGCCTCTGGGGCCGTCCTGGGGCTTGCTTTGGGGTCCTCTCGGGGCGTCCGGGCGCCCACTTGAGCGTCTCTGAGCCGTCTTGGTGCCTTCTTGGGCTGTTATTGGGCGCTCTTGGGGCTGTCTTGGATGCATCTTGGACTGTCTCGGGCGCCTCTGGAGCCGTCCCAGAGCCGTCTCGGGCCGTTTGGGGGCCCTCCTGGAGGCGTCTGGAGGCGTCTTGTGGCGATATTGGAGGCCTGTACAGCCGTCTTGGAGACTGGCAAACGAACAGAACGAACATATGACAAATACATGTTCTCCAAAGGGAATCTCGCGATGTTTGCCTTTTGGGGCTCTCTTGGGGGTCCTCCTGGGCATTCGGGAGCCTCCTGGCCTGCCTTGGACGCCTCTGGGGCCATCCTGGAGTTTGCTCAGGGTCCTCTCGGGGCGTCTGCGCGCCCTCTTGAGCCTCTGTGAGCCATCTTTGGGCCGTTATTGGGCGCTCTTGGGGCTGTCTTGGATGCCTCTTGGGCAGTCTCCGGTGCCTCTTGTGCCGTCTCGGGCGCCTCAGGGGCCGTCTCGGGCCGTTTTGGGACACTACCCTCCTGTGTGCGTCTGGGGGCGCAGTGGGGCGATCTTGGGGGCTTGTAGTGCTGTCTTGGGGACTGCGCAGACGAAAAAAACGGACACACGAAAAATATACGTTGTCCAGAAGGAACTTGCCGTCGCTCGGACGTCCATTTCCCGTGCAATTTCCGGTGTCGTGCGTGTGTTTTCTTGCTCGATGGTCCAGGATGCTCCTAGATGGTCACCGCCGAGAAAAAAACGCACACGTCCGAGCGATGCCAAGGGAATGGGACGATTGGTGCCTCTTGGGGCTCTCCTGGGGGTCCTCCTGGGCCGTCTCGGGAGCCTCCTTGCCTGCCTTGGAGGCCACTGGGGCCATCCTGGGGCTCGCTTTGGGGTCCTCTCGGGGCGTCCGGGCGCCCACTTGAGCGTCTCTGAGCCGTCTTGGTGCCTTCTTGGGCCGTTAATTGGGCGCTCTTGGGGCTGTCTTGGATGCCTCTTGGACTGTCTCGGGCGCCTCTGGAGCCGTCCCAGAGCCGTCTCGGGCCGTTTGGGGGCCCTCCTGGAGGCGTCTCGGGAGCCTCCTGGCCTGCTTTGGAAGCCTCTGGGGCCATCCTGGAGTTCGCTCGGAGTCCTCTCGGGGCGTCCGGGCGCCCACTTGAGCGTCTCTGAGCCGTCTCCTGGGGCCCCCCAGATCAAGAGGGACAGAACCAAACAGACACAATGATTCGTCGACTCCCAAGAAGATATGGGAAAAGATGGGAAATGGGGGGGAAGACGACAACCCAGAAAATATATGGAACATATTGGGAATCCAACTATTTGTGTCTATTTGTTTGTGTCCCTGGGCCCTTCACCAGAGTCGTTTTCGAGGGGGGGGGGGTCCAACTGGTAGTGCCCACCCCCTTTTCATGATGGACTGGGGGGGGGGTCGAACCGGTAGCGACCCCCCCCCGGTATTCGGGGGGGGGGGGGAACCCCCCGGTTTTCCGCCAGCAGCGTAAGAACACGTTCTTGCGGTTATGTGTGTGGATTCGTGCCCCTGGGCCCCTTCACCAGAGCCGTCTCGGAGCGCCCAGGGGGGGCTCGCGGCGCGCCCAGGAGGAGCCCAGGGAGCCTACCTCGGGACGGAGGACCTCCTCACACGCACGGGCCGCTGCCTTGTAGAAGAAAGGCTAGCGTGACGTCGGGCCTGTCCCCCTACAGGGGGATGTTCGACGAGCTTTTGCAACCATGGCAACAATATATATATATATACAACAAACAAAAACAACAACACACAAAAAACTCTACGATTGTTAAACATGTTCAAAAATAGCCTCCAGACTATTTTTCATATATGTTTTGAATATTCCCCCTGTAGCGGGACAGGCCCGACTCAAGACTCGCGTGCGCCCAGGGGGGAGTCCGCGGCAAGGCAGAGGTCGCAGCGTGGGTCCCGAGCGCGCAGGTGCCGCCGGCGGGAGCAGACGAAGGAGAGGGAGAGCGGCACCAGGGAGAAGGAGAAGGAGAGGGAGAAGGAGAGGGAGAAGGAGAGGGAGGAGAGGGAGAGAGAGAAGGAGAGGGAGAGGGGGTGAAGAACTCCAGGAGGCAGGCGAGGCGACTCCGAGTTCGCCCGTGAGGGCGGCCGCGCGCGGGGCTGGGAGTGGGCGCCGGGGCGCCGCTCATTCCGTCGAGGGTAGACCTGCTTCTGCCTCTACGGTGCACATAACCATCCTCCAATCGTGACCACAAGTCGCTGTCTGGCGCAATTGTTGGCCAATGCTCCCCACGTGTTGTGCGAATAAACTCTGCCACATCATCAATCCATCTTTTGTGAGGTCGCTGTGGCAATCGCTTTGCACGTGCATTTGTGTTGGAGGAAGGAGTAGGAGGAAGAGAAGAGAGAACGGGGAGGCAACTTTCTGGGGCCTCGTCTGGGGTCTGGGGCGCTCTTCGGGGTGTCGTGGATGCTTCCCTGTTGCTCCCATCGCCCGAAGGGCGGGGGGGGGGGGGGGAAACGAGGATTGCTGGGGTGCGCAGGGAGGAGCGGAGGAGAGGGCGATGGGCAAGAGTGCGAGCAGGTGGAGGACAGCGGCACCGGAGAGAGGGGCGTGGGGGCACCAAAGAAAGAGAAGAGAAGAGAAGAGAAGAGAAGAGAAGAGAAGAGAAGAGAAGAGAAGAGAAGAGAAGAGAAGAGAAGAGAAACGAAGCGAAGCGAAGAGACGAGACGAGAAGAGACGAGACGAGAAGAGAAGAGAAGAGGGGACAAAAGGGAGATGTGTTTTGGGGCTTTCTGGGGCGCTTTGGGGGCTCAGGGTTTTCTTGGGGGCTCTGGGTGATTTAGAAACGACTAAAGGTGCCCGGGCTTGAGGCTCTCGTGGAAGATCCTCGGCAATTGTCAGAGTCTCTCGGGGGGCTGCGGGGCATCGGGGAGTTGTCTGGGGCCTTTGTGGGGTCTTGGACTTTCTTCGGGGCATCCGAGAATTCAGAAGCTGCGAAATGTGCTGGGGTTGGAGGCTCTCTTGGGAGCTCCTTGACAACGTCGGAGTGTTAGGATGGCGTCGACCATCTCGGAGTACGTCCTTCTCGGACAGCTCTTTGGGCCCACTTGGGCCGTCCGAGAATCCAGAAACGGCGAAAGGTGCTGGGGCTGGATGATCTTTTGGGAACTCCTTGGCAACTGCCGGAGTCTGCTGGGAGCCTTTACTTGGAACACCTCGGAGTAAGTCCTTCTTGAATAGCTCTCGGAGACCTCTTGGGCTATGTTCCTCTCGAGCCATGTTGGGACCCTCTTGGGCCGTCTCTAGGGTCTCGTGGGCCATCTTGGGACCATGATAGGGGGTCTGGGGCCGTCTAGGGGCTTGTTGTCAGCCCCCTTTAAGCAGCTCCTGAGGCATCATGGGGCGGGTCACCTGAAGCTCTATAAGGCCGTCTGGGGCCTGTCTTGGGCCATCTCGGGGCCCTCTTGGGCCGTCTTGGTGCGCTCCTGGGGGCATCTTGGGCCATTGTTGGGCGATCGTAAATGTGCCTGGAGCCCCCAGGGGCCGTCCTGGGCCCGTCATGGGAAATGTGGAAAACAAAAAAAAACATGTAGTGCTGGCTTGAGTTTTGCCCTCGTGGGGCCGTCATCGGAGTCGTCGTGGGCCCTCTTGAGCTGTCCTGACGGCCTAAAGACCATCTCACGGCCATGGTGGACGTCTTGGGCCGTCTGGGAGCATGGTTTGGGCCTCCTTGGGCAGCTCCTGGGGCGTCTTGGGGGGCCCACTTGATGATTGTTAGGCTCCCCGAGGCCTGTTCAAGGTTGTCTTGGGGCTTTTGGTGGGCTCGTGATGGCCTCTTGGGCAATCTTGGTGCGATCTTGGAAGGACCTGAAGCCGTGTGGGGCCGCTCTGGGCCCCACATGGGAAGAATGCGAACCACCTTAGAACATGCGTGGCTCTTGCTTTCTTCCTTCGTGAGCCGTCATCGGGATCCTCGTGGGCGGTCTGTAGATCCTCCTGGTGAATCCTCGGGCTCTCTTGAGCCGTCCTGGCGCTCTCCGGAGCGTCACGGAGCTGTCATGGGGCTATCTGAAGCCGTCGAGAGGCCATCCGGCGGCCCCCTGAGCCCGTCGGGGGGCGTCCTGGGGGCGCTCTGGGCGCTTGGGGGTGCTCTGGAACGGTTTTTGTGGAGCGCGCTTTCCACACTGCCGCGACCAGAATTGTAGTACAGATGACGTCGGGCTCTAACTTCGCCTCCCACATCTCGCCGACCAGTGCCAGAGCCCGCTGCCACTGCTCGCCCTTCTCGCACGCGCTGATCCCAGCATTGTAGCTGATGACTAGGGCTGACTCGCGGCCTTCCGGCCGCGGAATCTGCCCGCCATGGCGTGCACGTGGAACTGGAGTGTCTCTGGGGCCTCGCGGGTAAGGGGAGGGTGGAGGGGACGGCGTGGGATGAGGAGGTGGCCGCTGGCTGGAGGTGAAGGCGAGCGAGGGATGCAGGCAGGCAGGCCTGAAGGCAGGAACGCGATGGTGGAGGCGGTGCCAGTGGAAGCACACCCATGTAGGCATGACATGGTGTGGACAGAAGCGGTTTCTGACGCCGCAGTCTGTTTTCATCATAATTTCTGCGGGGAGGGTAGCCGTGAGAAGTTATCTGCTCTTCGATAATTGTATCTTGTAGTCTGGTGACAATGGGGCCAGCGGGCGCGGCCTAGGAAATCCGCCACCGTGCCTGTGCCTGGGTAATGGCTCAGAAGCCTCTGGGGTCCCTCTTGGAGGCAGCTTTGGGACCTCTTGGGGGCCGTCTTGGGGCCTCGTGGGGCTTGCTTTGGGTTTCTTGGGGGCCTCTGGGGACCTCTTGGCGTTCCCTTGGGGGGGTTTTGTGGCCTTGTGTGGGCGAATGGGGCCCAGGGCTCGGAGGTTTTTCCTCCTTCTTTGGTCCCCTCTTGGGCCTGGCTTGGGGTCCCGTGGGGCCGTCTTGGGCGTCTCTTGGGCCATCTTGGGTCCCCTGTGGGAGCCTCCTGGGCCGTCTTGGGGCGGTGTTGGGGGCCTCTTGGGCCGTCGTCTACGCCATGAAACCCGGAAAGCCGGAGATGCTGACATGTGTACGGCTTCCGTCGGGAAAGCGATAATTGTGGCCTCCTGGGGCCCTCCTGGGAAGCCTCTTCGGCGTCTCTGGGGCCGTCTTGGCGCCGCAAAAGGCAGTCTTGGTTTGTCGTGGAGCGCTCTTGGAACGTCTTGGGGATACCTTGGGCCGTGCTGGGAGCCTGTTGGTGTCGCCCTGGGGCCGTTTTGGGCGCCTCTTGGGCTCTCTTGACGCCCTCTCGGGCTGGTTTCGTGCGTCTTGGGGGCCTCTTGGGCCGTCTTGGGGCGGTCGTGGGGACCTGGAACCAGCTTTTGCGCCATATTCCCGACAAGCAGCGCATGCTAAAAGTGAGCGTTTCGGGAAAACAATGATTTGGGCCTGTGGGGGCCATCCTGGGACGCCTCTTGGGCGTCTCTGGGGCCGTCGTGGAGGCCTCCTGGGCCGTCTTGGCTTTGTTTTCGGCGGTCTTGGGCTCTCTTGGAGCGCTCTTGGGCCGTCTTGGGAGTGTGTGGGGCCGTCCTGGGCCCTCCTGGGAGCCTCTTGGGGCCGCCTGGGGGCCGTGTTGGGCGCCTCTTGGGTCTCTTGACGCTCTCTCGGGCCGGTTTTCGTGCCTCTGGGGGGCCTCTTGGGCCGTCTTGGGGCGGTCGTGGGGACCTCTTGTCCCATCTTCTGCGCCATATTCCCGACAAGCAGTGTCTGCTAAAATTGGACGCTTTTCTTTGGGAAAACAATGATTTGGGCCTGTGGGGGCCATCCTGGGGCGCCTCTTGGGCGTTTCTGGGGCCGTCGTGGAGGCCTCCTGGGCCGTCTTGGCTTTGTTTTCGGCGGTCTTGAGCTCTCTTGGAGCGTTCTTGGGCCGTTTTGGGTGTGTCTGGGGCCGTCCTGGGCGCCTCTTGGGCCGCGTGAGCGCCTCTGGGGCGTCCCCGGAGCCGTTGTGGGGGATTTTAAGGCGATCAAGACAGGGACCCTTCCTGCACGCGCGGGCCCCTGCATTGTAGAGAAGACTGTTTGTAGTAGAGACTAGGGATGGCCAGTGGACTCCGTCCATGGCATCTGCACGAACTGGCATGTGGTGGTGGACATGCGATCGAAAGGTTGGCATGATGACGTGGGCCTCGAACTTCGCCTTGCACGCATGCTACTGAGTGTTGCTTCTTGCTGCCACTGCTGCGTGCTGCTGGTAATGCTTACCGCTGCAGCGTGTTGTTGCTGCTCGCAGCTGCGGAGAATGCGGATGGTCAATTATGTTTTGTGCGTGCCGCTGCCCGCGGCATGCTGCTGTTTGCTGTGCTGCCCGCCTCCCGTTGCTGCCATTAGCTGCTTCTGATTGATGCTGCAGGGTGAGCGTTTCAGCGTTATGGCGAATCCTGCTGCCGGGAGAGGGCCGAAGAGCGAGGAATCAGGATCGATATCGTCGAGGAGATTGAAGGGAAAGAGAGACGGGCGACTAGGCAAGGCCCCCCCGAGCGAAGCTCCCGAGGCAACATCATCATCATGGTCATCATCATCATCAGCATCATCAGCAACATCATAATCACCACCATGACCATCATCATCCCCCTCATCATCATCACCATCATCATACTCATCATCATCGTCGTGGTCGTCGTCGTCATCATCATCACAATCACCACAAGCATCAACATCAACCTCACCATCACCATCATGATCATAATAATCTCATCATCATCATCAGCAGCATCAGCATCATCAACATCATCAGCATCATCGTCGTCACATAATTTGGAGCGTCGGCCAATAAGGCCCGATGCGGCCCCAAGGTTGCTCCAAGATCGTCCAAGACGGCTCGAAGATGACCCCAGAATGGCCCAAGAGGCTCCCAGAAGGGCTGCAAGAGCGAAACACGTCAGGGGCCTAAGAGGCCCGGGAGAGGGCTCGTGACCGACCAAACGAAAAAGGGATTGTGAGCCAAATCTGGCAGGGAGCGCCAAGCAAGCGTCAGGGAGGCGGAAGAGCCCCACGCGGAGCCCAGACTCGGAGTGAGGGACTGGGGCAAGATGGCATCATCATCATCATAATCATCATCACCACCACTATCCTCCTCCTCATCCCCCTCATCATCATCATCGTCAATATCATCATCATCATATCAACATCACCAGCATCATCATGGGGACCGAGAGCCAGGCGAGGAACGATTTCACCTGTCTGAGGCGACGTGCCTGGTGCAATCTGCCTTCGAGAACACTACTCAGTGATCGCGATGAGACCACACGAGCGGAGGGTCCGAACATTGGGGCGGCCTTCGACGCACCGCCCACCTCCGCTCGAAGAAACAGTTTTGTTTCTGCTACATTAGACGATGGGCGGCCGCGGGTGGGAGCCAAAAAGACTTCGGAACTTGCAGATGCTCTGACAGACATGCTGGCAAACAACAAGCCGCTCTCTCACTCCATTCTTGTGCACGCACTCCCATGGGGACCGAGAGCCAGGCGAGGAACGATTTCACATGTCTGAGGCGACGTGCCTGGTGCAATCTGTTTTCGAGAACAGTACTCAGTCATCGCGACGAGACCACACGAGCGGAGGGTCCGAACATTGGGGCGGCCTTCGACGCACCGCCCACCTCCGCTCGGAGAGAAAGGCCCAAAGCATCCCCAAAGCACCTGAGGATGTGACTCATGCTTGAAAAAACTTAGCTCGGATCGGAGCCACGAGCGCACGCGCCAGACCGCGATTCAGCTGTTGTGGGTATGGCTGTGCTACCTGTGTCCACGACACCCCGTAGGGCGCTGGGCCAGAAAGAATGATGTGTGTTCGACCTGTGCGGCTGCAATCGCCGTTGGTGCCGCCACGCTGGCGCGAAAGCCCCTGGAGGTCGTGGACGGGAATGTTCCCGCACATTAGGGTCGTGCGTTTCTTCCAGGGGGTACCGAACTGACGAAAATCAATAGTCAACGTCGCCACGGACGGGGAGGAGGCCAGGCGCTGGAATTCAGAAGTTTTAAACACGTAGCTGGCGCACGGGTTCTCCAAAATCCAGGAGGCACCAACGGCGTTGCATTCACGAGTTATGGCCAGCGAGGCCCTGCAACACTTGTTACCCTCCTTGAGTTTCCCCCAGTCTTTAGGGCTGACCTCCTCCCTCGAAAACCCCCATGGTCGGCGGACAGAGCGGACGGGTGCTGTACGAATGCGTGCTATGCTGAAGCTGCTACACGGAGGAGCGAGCAGCACTGCCAAGCAACGGCGCCTGCGTATATCTGCCAAGAGCGGCTTGATCACGCGGTTGGACGTGAGGTCGCCGCGCGGGCCGTGGGAGATCTCCCAGATGCGAGCCTGAAAGCCGAGCTGCCTCACAGCTTTGGCGACTCCGCCTTTGTCAGCGAACACGTCGGCAACGCACGTATCCCTCATCAACTCCGCCCCAAACGTGGGAGCGGCACGAGGCGCGCGTGGAGAACGATCTCCGTGCCGCGATCCTCGCACTGCTGGAAGTAGGCCTGGAGGCCGGCTGCATGCCGATGAAAGGAGTCGGCAAGCCTGGCGTGCTTCTCGTAGCGGGCGACGCTCTTGCCGGACTTCCACTGGCCATGCTTCTGCACCTCCAGCAGGGAGCGGGAGCCCCGAGCGCGGTCGACGCTCGGGCCGCTGTGGCGCGTCTGGTACGGCACCAGGCCCGGCACGCCGATCAGTCGGGCAGCACGACGAAACGTGTAGAGGTACTCGCCGTAGTCGACGTCCCAAAGGGGGCCTGGCCCCGCCACAGCCCGTAGGCGTTCCCAGAGCGGGTTCAGATCCTTGGCCCAGTCGCTATCGAGCAGGATGGACACGTCCGAGTCCCCGATCTTGCTCCGCCCTGGTCGTTCGTGGGGGTGGACGAGGACTGACCAGTGGCGAGTGACGCCTGGCGCAGGAGGAATGAGCTCCGCCCCCCTCACGGTCAGAAGCGCCCCCGGCCTGAGGTAGGTCGAAACGGCCAGGAGGGCGAACACAGACATCCGAGGCCGATCGAGATGGCACATGGCGTTTGCGAGGCCGAACCACACGCCAAGCCCCTCCGGCTTCCGAGAGCGCCCGGGGCAAAGTTTGTGCCACCCCTGAAGCGCCCTCCAGGCCCGCGGGAGCTTCAAAGAGCCCTGGCGGCCGTAGGCGGGGCGGAGGTGGATCCAGCCCGCCAGAGCCTTGGCCCCTGTCGACGGCCGAAAGCCCTTGAAGAAGCACTGCTCCAGGCATGACGCGAAAACGGCGTCCACGGCGTCGGCCTCGGCGCGGCCCACGCGGACCCCC